TTAAAGGCTCTTTCCCGGGGGCGGGTGGTTAGTTCAGCCGTGCCGCGCTCTCCCTGCCCCGCAGCCGGCCCTGCCGCTCTGCCTGCCGTGCTGGTGTTGCGCGTTCCCCCCAAAGATGGCACTGGATGTCTTTCGCATTTTCCTGGGATATTATTTTTCATCCCCCGGGGAGCGCAGCTCCTGCTTGGTACAGCTGTAAATCTTTTCCCTTTTCACATTCATTCAACCCTGCGGATTTGTATTCGGCGCTTGTGAAGAAGGCAGCTTGTTATGTGGGGAGAATTAGAAGTGAACGTGTTTTGCCCCCCCCCCTTTTTTTTTCTTTTATTCCTCTTAATGTGGCGACCCTAGCACCCGCAGCGGTGACGTTAAATGTACAATGAAATCTTGGACTGCCGGATGAGCGCAAAGACTTTGCGTCCTGGCAGAAGCTGTGGCTGACCCCCCATTAGCGGTCGGAGCGACGAAGGTGGTAGCTACCTGTTAGAAGAAACCTTCCCTGCTCTCGTCTGTGCTTGTGCTTCCACACCACTGTGCCTTTTTCTCGAGTGGGGAACAGCTCCGTGCCGGCTGCGGTCTGGGGAGGCAAGACGGACTCCTTCTTGTGATTGTTGGATGAGTTTTGGAAATGCTTGATAGCACTTACCTGTCAGGTAGACATGTATGACATCTTGGGGGGAGTGAAAAGGGACTCTTCCCCGAGCTGTCAGTAAAGGAAAGCAGTTTGTTTTCTTGGTTCTCTGTATAAACCTGGCATTTAGATACTCGTCTGTATTTTTATATAGGTGCAGAACTGTCACTGCAGTTTTCTCGATCAGCGTCGCAATCTTCATGCCGATAGCTAGGCAGAATGAAAAAGGAATGAAACTGTGTAACATTTATTTAAAAGACTAGAAGATCTTGTATTTATTTGAGAAGCTTCTGATCTGTCTGTCATGTGAAAGTGGATTTGTTCTTTGTGTTTTGAGGTTGGTTTGGGTGTTTTGTCACATTAACATTCTTACGAATTCTTAGGTGCTCTTTTTCTGACACTTAGTTCATCTTATCCTTTTCTACCCCTTTTTCTTTCACACCCTGGCCTGTGGTCAGAAAATACTTGAAAACGAGCTGTTTGCACCCTTGCTTTAATTTTATAAGGAGCATATTAGATTCGTGTGCTGAGTTACTTTCTTATAAAAAATGTCTTGGCCACTTGACAGTGCTTAGTTAGAGGCTCTGTAATGCACATACGTCACTTTAAGAAGGAGGCTTTCCAAATGCACCAGCAAGCAAATCTGTTGAGCTTTCTGATGCTGCAGATTGAGATGGAAGGGTGAGAGCTGTGCATGTTCTTTATTCTGCCATGCAGAACATGAACCTGACGGTGTTCTTGCCTGTTTCCAACTCAGTTTTGAGGACATTCATAATTGCTGTGGCCAGCTAGACAGATGTTGAGTTCAGTAGCAAGTGAGAAGCACTTTCCATGGCTTGGCAAGTAAGCATACAGGTTAATACTGGATTTTTCTTCTTTTTTACTTTTTTTTTTTTAAATGGCATGGGGTCTCCTTTGCATTCCTCATCCATGATGCCATACCCAGACTCTCCCCGTTACTGGACTTTGGCCAGATCCTCAGCATTGTTGTAATCCCCTGCTGAAAGAGATCAGTACCAGGTGGCTGGGGCAATCTGTGGTTTGCCATAGCATTTCTGTTTTCAAAAAGTATCCCGTTCTTGATTCCTCCTTTGCCCTTGATCTTGCATATGCGTGTATATATGTACACACACAATGTTTATTTATACCTTCTGTCTTATTGTTATTTTAGGATTTCAGATGCATGCCAGGTTCCCACTGAATGCCAGAAGTAGAGATCACTACAGATGGAGCCCCAAGGTCAACATGGCAGCGGAGGTTCACTAGTGGTGATTCAGCAGCCCTCCTTGGACAGCCGGCAACGGTTGGACTATGAACGAGAGAGCCAGCCCGCAACCATCTTGTCACTGGACCAGATCAAGGCCATCAGGGGCAGCAACGAATACACCGAAGGTCCATCTGTGGTGAAAAAATCTGGTCCGCGGACAGCACCGAGGCAAGAGAAGCATGAAAGGACTCACGAAATTATACCAATCAATGTGAATAATAATTACGAACACAGACCCAGTCACGTGGGGCACGTGGCCCATCAGCATAACGCGAGGGCTCCCGTCTTGAGCAGGTCGACCAGCACGGGGAGCGCGGCTAGCTCTGGGAGCAACAGCAGTGCTTCCTCAGAGCAAGGACTGCTGGCATGGTCACCTCCATCCCGGCTGGGCTCAGGCCACAGACCCGATCGGACAATCCGGACGCAGCCCAAGCAGTCGTCGCTGATTGTAGACGACCTGAAGGGTCCTTTGAAAGAGGACTTGGCGCAGCACAAGTTCATCTGCGAACAGTGCGGGAAGTGCAAGTGCGGCGAGTGCACGGCCCCGAGGGCCCTCCCTTCTTGCTTGGCCTGCAACCGGCAGTGCTTGTGCTCTGCGGAGAGCATGGTGGAGTACAGCACCTGCATGTGTTTGGTCAAAGGGATCTTCTACCACTGCTCTAACGACGATGAAGGGGACTCTTACGCGGATAATCCCTGCTCTTGTTCCCAGTCACACTGCTGTTCTAGGTACCTGTGCATGGGAGCGATGTCCTTGTTTCTGCCTTGCTTGCTCTGCTACCCTCCTGCAAAAGGATGCCTAAAACTCTGTCGAGGGTGTTACGACCGCATCAATCGTCCAGGTTGCCGGTGCAAGAACTCCAACACGGTCTATTGTAAACTGGAGAGCTGCCCCTCCCGGGGTCAGGGCAAGCCCTCATGATTTTTGGAGGGAGGTTTACTTCCTCCAACTTCAGTTTTTCAGGTTGTAGCTGATCTTTTTTTCTTTCTTTCTTTCCTTCCCCTGCCCTATTTGGGGGGGCTGTTCTTTTGCTTTCCTTTCAGTTGCCCCAACGTCAAATACACAAGTTCTTCCCTTTGCATCTTCACTCTCCTCTTCCTATTGACTCGGCTGAGCGCGGAGCGTTATACGTAGTCATTGCTGCTCTTGGTAAGTGTGGACCTGGTATCTGCATCTGCCGCTCGTTTTGGCAGGGTCTTTTGAGTTTGTAACTGAACCACTCCTGAAAGAGACGGTGAGGGCTCACTGCGCTCTTGAAGCTTCTTGCTCTGTGAATATCTTCCCAAAGATGTCTTTTGTTGTCAGCAATTTTTTTTTTTTTTTTTCTTTTCTTCTTCCCCCCCTTAACCCCCTTGGGTACCAAGGAAGAATAACTCATGAGTGAGGTGGATTGTGAAATCACTTTTCGCATGTGTTCTGTCTGGAGAGGGATGTAAAATAAAGGCTTCACCAAATGAAAGGCCTGACTCTCTTATAAGCAGCCAGCTTTTCTTTTTTGCCCCTCCTCCCCTCTCTTTTTGTCTTAGCTTTTGGAACATTCTCAGTCCTGAGAATTACCCTGCCTCCTTTTTTACATTTTCAATGTAACTTCAGTTTTTGCTACCCTATGTAGATCTTCACATTGGAGACATTATGGCTGCAACATACTCATTTGTTTCTTTTGCTGTCAGATCTTTGAAGGATACTGCTCACTCCACCCTCCTACTCCTGTTTTTATAGTCTACCAGTTGATATTAAAGTTGGTGTGGTGTTCATATATCCAAACAGCCTTTGGGTGTCATTGAGTCACCGAAACGTTCTTGAATCCTGAAAAGTTTCTGTTGATCCTTTGGTTTAGTGAATTTAGCTCTATGCTCTGTACTTTATAATTTTATTCTGTCCCTGTTTTATTGCCTTAGCCACAAATTGTGGTCCTTTTTTGTATATTTTATGTATAAAACACAAAGTTGAATCCCAACTATTTTTAAGACAAAAGTCTGTTAAAACTTTTTTTATTGTAAAGAATATTTATTATGTGAATCTCTATTATTTTATGATATTTATTGCAAAAGACTTTGAAAATGTACTCATGTCTGAATATAACAAAATATCAATACTTAACGAAATAAGGATGACACGAAGAAAGTACATATGTTAACTATAATGCAGAAAATATATTAATTAATGAAAATGGCTCTTGAGTTCTTTTTGTTACAATGACTGGTGATGAGCTACATACGCATATTGCTGGGTTGTTGGGGTTTCTCCTCCTTGCTGTCTGTCGGGTAGCAAATAACTTCCTATTGATACTTCAAAACCACTAGTCTGTGCTCTAGTTTAGTTTACCCAATTTTAAGTTTGCTAACTATGTATCGAGTAAGTTTTTGCTATAGGATATTTAATACAATCGAATGTATACGTTGTGCTTAACAGTGCCAGGAAGCGTAAGCCCTATTTATTTACCAAAGCATTCGGAAATACAGTTGTGGAGGAGGAAACCCTAACTTCAAGGGCCTTTTTGTTTCCTGAAGAACACCAAATTAACATGTAAACCTATTTTAAATATTCCCATATAGAACTCCTTGGCTGGTTAAACTGTACGTCAACTGAAGTAATGAACCTACCAAGCCCATATCTAAATAAAAAGCAAGAGGCAGGATAAAAAAGTAACGGTTGTGATGCTGTAGTTTGCTAGCTTGGAAATTTGGGGGTGAGTGCGTTTGTGCCTATGTCTATGGCTTGTTTGGTTCTTTTCCCATATGCACTTTCCCAATGTCAACCGAATCGATCTTCCCTCTCTAAATTAAAGGCTCTTAAGGCTGACCCAAGTGTCACAGCTACTTGTGGCCATTTAAACGCGTATTCAACAAAAAAAAGCTTTTCATTAAGAGTGAATGGGGAAGCCTCATTCTTCTCTTCATGTGGGTCAAGGCTAACATCACAATTCTTCTAAAGTAAAAAGTTTTTATTAAATGGATGTAATGTCACATGGCGTTTGGAGTGAGTGGTTGTAGAGAAACTCCACTTTAAGAACCCAGTAATAACTTGACAGATGTGTCATATCTTGCATTTTGAAAGTCCTGCTGCTTTGAATTGCCATATTCAAGCTGTTCTGACTCCTAGCATAATGATGATTTCAGTAAGCTCAGCTTTGGTAGTTAACTCTGTCAAAGCTGATCCAGTGTCATATAACGAGCTGACTGAAAAGTTGCATTCTTTATTAAACAGCACGGATGACTTCTGCAAGGTATAAAGTGCAATCATCATCTGGCTACATCTAGGAAACCACTTGCTTTGCGGTATACAGTTGGTAATACTGCTCTCCCGGTCTCAGCGTGACAACGTTTACAGGCTGGGAGGCTTGCGGGCCGGCAGCGTACATATACGAAGTCTGCTTTCCAAGATTTAATCTTCATGAGATGAAGCACAGCCAAGAGAAGAAGGTTGCTGACGAGTAGGCGACTTGCTTTGCACTGCTTTCCTATCACCGATACTTCTCTAACCGTGACAGCTGCAAACAGCCCTTGGGAGACAATGAAATCCTTGTCAAACAGTCGCCGGTGGTCATTTGTGACCATTTTTAAGACTGTGTACTGACACTCAAAAATCCCGAGCCAGCTGCCTTTCCATAACTGGATACAATCCAGCTCTAAGTTGAGTAAGTTTGCTCAAAGGGTGTTAAGTTATTCCTCTTCAAGAAAACCTTGATAGTGCTTACCTCTGTCTCTCTCTTGGTTTTGGTGGTGGTTTTTTTTTTTTTTTTTTAGCCAGGTGCCTGATGTGGGGGTTTGGTTTGGTTCCTAGCAGAAGAGAAGCCCAAAGGAACCACAAGTACTCTGTCTTTTAATGATTAGCTTCCATCGTGAGCTATGCCACAGCACTGGTTCAGTTTTCTTTTTAAAAAAAAGTCAACAAAACCCATGCTCTAGTTAGCCACACTAACTAATGCTCTCTTTACTAACTAAACTTTGGGAATAGCTTCAGGTTGCGGTTCCTTTGGAGGGAAATTTGACTTTGGCCTAGATGGCCATGAGAAGCTAAGAGTCCCTTGTATGTCTTAAGCGGTGTGCCGGTTGCCAGGTGTTACCCAGAGAAGGCAGCTGCTAAAGCAATGAGAATAATAGGCGGGTTTTGGGTTAGGTGCTGTATCGTTTATCCTTTATATATATATATATGTATATTTGAGTTCACTGTCCATTCCTCTGGAACACAGGGTGATTGCCTTACCTTATGGAAACGACGGTGACTTCTTCCAGGCGGACAGCTTCTGCGGTGTAGAACCACGCAGGACTGCATGAGAGCAAACGAGTGCCTGGGGGAAAAAAATTAAGCAAGCTGATAGATGTATGAAGCAAGCCTTCACAGCTTGGGGAAAAAAAAAAAAAAAAAAGTTATATTAAATACGCCCAAAGCAGTCAGTCATTAGAATCTGTTCTACTTTCCAGAATACAGAAGCTGGAATGACCACCTAGAGATACTGTGTTTTTGTTGCAAGGGGGTTTGCTAAATGCCAATGAGACGATTTGGAGACTGAAGTGCAGATTTCATTTCTTCAACCCAAAATGTGTCAAGGGGCTATTGGGGTTACTTTCTACGCATCTGCGGAGTGCCAGACTGTTAGAGGTCCATTACAATGTTGATCATAAAAAGTATTTCTTGTTTTCAGATAGCTTTGAGATCTTTTGAAAAAAAAGAGAAGTCTGTGTAAAATGATTGTGTAATTGGGCAGTAAGTTCAGCTGACCTACTAACCTAATTGTATAGGTTGGTGATGGATTTGAAAGAGCCTGTCCTCCGGTTGCACGCAGCAGAGCCCTGAGATGTGTCACGTAAGGTCTGGGATGAAGGAAAAAGGGAAGTCCCTCCAGCGAGCCGGAGCTCAGGTCTTGGTTTGCTTAGCGTCTCGAAAGTGGGGGTAAGAGAGTAGTTTTGGAAACTGATGGTAAATAAGTGTCCACGTTCCCTGCTGGAGGAATAACATCGCTAGAGTGAGAACTGGAGAGAGTTGGGGCGTTTCTTTAAAGACGGCTTCATCGCCCTAATGCTAGTGTGGATGATAGCCTTATCCAAGGGGGGATAATGCTCAACAAATGAAAAGTACTTGCGCTTGTTTATGGTTCCATATCAAAAAGACAGGTGGGAGAGGATTAGCTCCTCTGTCTGTGATAAAGCAAATCTGTTAAGAGGGATTAAAAGGGCTAGATGAAGTGTTTTAATGGACTTATATGAAGTAATAGATTTTTGTCCTGGAGGAACGTTCAGGACTCACTGATACTTCTGTATTTCTTGTTCTGCTAAAATTACCTCCAAATTCTAAGGAATCCTGATTAATTGTTGGCTTTCTTCCAGCTGGAGCATTTGTGTCAGTCATGGTGGTGCTTCAAAAAACCCGGAATAAAATTTTGTTCTGCTATCACACAGCTGCATTTACCAGCTTTACGCAGTGCGTGGGTTGCACGGGTCTTGTTCTGATTAGCCTTCATCAGCGGGCAAGCTGCTTTTCAGGCAGCTCTTAAGCATTTGTACTTCCTCGCTGCGGTTGCCTTCCACCTTTCTTTCACTGGTGGGAGTAGCCAAGGCGTGGCTTCTACCCGTGGCATTAGTTACATAGCCATTATGGGGCCTGCGTTAACTTATATATGTGTTATATACACATGTATATATATTATATATGTGTTACGCTTACTGGAAGGATCGACTGAAAAAACTTCTAAGCTACCCAGAAAGTTTCCTTCAGCATGTTCTGCCTCCTCTTTTAGAGCATGGACACTTGGGCTGTCACCGAGACGCGGGACTGATGCTCCGCCGTCCTGGGGGGGGACGAGGATGGTCTGTGAGTTAGTTGGGCGGCGAGCACAGCCCACAGATCACCCTTCTGGTGCTGCCTCAGCATTTAAGGATCCCAGCGCAGAGTTATTCAGGCTCTTCGTGCACCCTCGCGCT